TTGGAATCAAATTTGGGACCATTTTTCTGCTTAGTTTAATACTATATTCTATTAAATACTTTTAAGAGTATACTTATTGCTCACAAAATATAATTAGTCAAAACTTTATAACTGAGATTTGATTCATTATACTTCAAATCTAAGGTGTAGATTACATTATTGTTATGGAGTAAAGAGCCAATTTAAGAAAGTGCAATAATAATTACCATTTGGTAGGTTTGTTTTCCTTTACTGGCAGCTTTATAATTTTCAAAAATGTAAATATTCAGTTTCATTCTAGTCTGTGGCTGATACGTGTTCTAAAGATGAAGTTAGTTTTGATAAGAGTGTTCCATAAAAGAAGTGATAATTGACTTGTTTTGTCTCTCCTGGTTTATTTCCAGTTTGACAGCTGTGTTTTGTGCAGGTACAAGTAGAATGAGATTTCTTTTAGTATACTGGAGTTATTCTGTGTAGATCTGGCATATATGTTGTGGTTAATGCATTGGCATTGAGTCCTCACTATACATGTGACACTTTCAATAGCAATATCTGGATAATATTCAGATTGTTACTAAAAATAAAAATTAAATCGTTCTGAGATTTGGGACATCTGAATATGGCATGAGCAATATATTAAGATGTTAATGTGAAAAAGCTGTGATTCTTTTAAGCGCTCTGGGAGTGCCTTGCTGATAATGTCTCGGCTCTGTCTTGTTCCTGTATTTATTTTTTGTAAGGGTTTTCACTAAAGAAAACAAATGGTAAAATTGTGGATATTTCATGCATTGGATTAGACTTTATTTTTAAATTGCAATCTTTATTTCCTCTACCAAATCAACATTTGTGCTCTGGGTTAGCACTTCTGAGAATTTTGTGAACTTCGTATAAATTGCTTACAGCCCTGATGTGATTTTAATTTGGATTTTAGGGGTTTCCAATCCTTTTCTTCCCATTGTTTTTCAACAGAAAGTGAACTGGGGACAATTTGATATAAAACAGAAAATGCTGGAAGTACTCAGCAGGGTAGACAGAGTCTTTCTTTCCACAGAGTTAACCTTTCTGTTGGGTCGTGAAGGGTCATCACAACCTGAAATGTTAACTGTTTCTCCAGATATCCTGTCAGATCTGCTTGGTATTTCCAACATGTTCTTTTTTATCTTCAAATTTCCAACATCTGTAGTATTTTACTTTCATAATGTGGAAATTTTTGTTTTGTTAGACTGTCAAATGGGCTGAATGTATGCTTTCGGCCAATAGAAAACACTTAGTTTGTGTATATAATTTCTGAAACTGTAGGCCACTGATGAATTTTGCATGCTTTGCACCTTTCAGTAACATCTTGCCTTTATATAGTCGCTTCATAGTCATGAACATCCCAAGGTGTTCCACACAGAGCATTATCAAACAAAATTTGACAATGGGTCATTTAACAAGGTATTAGGACAATGAGAAGTCGATTTTATAAATTATATATTTTTCTGATGAAGGGTCTAGGCCCGAAACGTCAGCCTTTCTGCTCCTATGATGCTGCTTGGCCTGCTGTGTTCATCCAGCCCTACACCTTGTTGTCTCGGATTCTCCAGCATCTGCAGTTCCTACTATCTCTGATTTTATAAAGGATTGAGTGGCACAGCAGGTTAGTAGACAAACACCAAAACATACAGTCTAGGCTGCTGAAGATATAGCTGCCAGTGGTGGTGGAGCAGTTAACATTGGAAATGCACAAAAATCCAGAATTGAAGGAGTATGGAAGTCTTAGTGTTGTAGGGCTGGAGGAGGTTTCAGATGTTATAGTTAGAGGGGTTGTGCGAGGTGGTGGCAAGGTAGAACTGGGTGACATCAGTATAACGTGGGCAGTTTGATGTTTTGTGTTTGCAGCATGTTGCAGAAAAATGGGAAGAATCCAAGGACACAACGTTGGATCTCCGTGACTTTTGGTATAAAGTTCTGAGGGTGATGTCTGTCCTTATCTCTCCCTTCACCCTTCCAAACACCGCCTTAATGGTGTGTTTTTGGGCCATTTGATCTTAGGGGCGTGCCAGCCTTATTCTCCCCAGTTCTTGTCCAATGCCCATATTCTTACAGTTGTGCTGAAAGGTTTGAATATCAGTTCAGAATAGCAGCAATACCCATAATTTCTCCTCCTAATGTGAGGCCTGAAGCTAATTATAGGTCCCTAATTGAGATGAGTTAACTCAGCAGATACAAAGATAAAAGTGGCTTTTGTGGTCTGTTCAGTACAGTACAGGATAAACTCACTGTCGCTGAAATGTCAGTGAAATGATGGATAGAAGTGTGTAGATACCCTTTCTTGGCCTCCTGTGGAAGTGTAATGAGTCTGTGTTAATAAGGAACTGAACACATTAATACTTCTTATAGACCAGGAGCAGAAAAGCACCAGAAACCGTTTCAACTATTCAATACAAATTGTTATTTAAAAGCTATTATTTGTGTTAAAAATGGAGACTCAGTAGATTCATTTAAACTGTCAGAAAATTCAAAGAATACATCAGCATTGATTCAGTAGATGGAGATGATGGTAATGGTCCACACTGTTCTGAGTTTCTGCAAAGTGTAGCTCCAGTAGGGTTACTGGCACCTAAACTTAGGTTGAAGGAAAGAGCAGTTATAATGTTGTTTTGAAACATGAATTCTAAAGAAGGACTTTGTCATGAAACAAAATTATTAATTAAAATGTTGCTTTCTCCAATGATCCTGAAGTTATAACTTACAAATTTCAAAAGAATAAAGTGTTGATTCCTCAAATAATACTGAGCCCATTGATGTAAAAATGCCATTTAATGTCAAAAAGAAACAGTTAGCAATTAGATTTTCATCTGCTATGACTATCAATAAGCCAGAAGACTGAACTCTTGACAAATGTGTATTTATATTTCTAGGCCTGTTTTTACTCTTTGACATCTTTATGTAACTTTTTTCAAATTGCAAAGTTTTGATTCTCTTGAAGTCTTTGGTGAAAGAATAATTAGAAATCCTGTATTTAAAGAAGTACTGTTGCAAGAAAGATTATTTGACCACAAATATTTTGCAGGTCTCTGTTAGTTTAGATTAGAATACCTTGTGGTTTTTAATGTGTTACATTTGAAAGGACATTCATAGAGTCAAAACAGTTTATAAAAGAAAAAGAAAAACAAATTCTGTGTCTGACAACTTGCCTGCCTTACTGAACCTGTTCATACTGATGGGAGGGAGAGAATAAGCAAAGATATGTTCTACTTTCCTAAAATGCACAGAAAAAGGCTAACCAGGAATTGGGATTTCCTCTTCTAAGAGAGGAAAAGACAGAGACCACCCTAGTGCTGTCTAACCGACTGTTTCCAAACCACTTTAGAGAGTAATAGACAATTATTCACCTATTTCCTCAGTTGAGGTGTTGCAGCAAAAAAAAATTTTGCTTTTTCTAGTACCTGGCATGTAGAAGGATATCTTTGGGCACTTCAGAGCCATTATGATGCTGAGCCATTAGAGATGTTAGTAGAGTGAACGAAAACTTAGTCGAAAAAATGATCTTGTGGTGGTAAAGGGGAAAGAGAGATAGAGAGTTCCTATTGGCAAACAAATCAAGAATGAGAGGGCATAAGTTTTAATTTGCCAAACAAAGTAAATGTGATGAGAATAAAAATTTTCAGGTAGCAAGTGGTTCAGTTCTGGAATGTACTGTCTGGAAGTGTGGTGGAGGCAGGTTCAATCGAAGAATTCCAGAAGAATTAGATAATTATTTAAGGAGAAAGAGTGTGCAGGGTTGGGGAGAAACAGTGGAAGAATTACACTAAGTCATGCTGTTCTTTCAAAGAACAAAGAAAATTACAGCACAGGAACAGGCCCTTCGGCCCTCCAAGCCTGCGCTGATCCAGATCCTCTATCTAAACCTGTCGCCTATTTTCCAAGGATCTGTAGCCCTCTGCTCCCTGCCCATTCATGTATCTGTCTAGATACATCTTGAATGACACTATTGTGCCCGCCTCTACTACCTCCACTGGCAATGCGTTCCAGGCACCCACCACCCTCTGCGTAAAGAACTTTCCACGCATAAGAGGGTGCAAACATGATGGGCTGAATGGCTGTCTTCTGCAGCTTTGCAACTCTGTAATAAACAGGCAGAAGGATCTCGGACAAGAATTCTGAAGCATTGGACCTGTCTGGCTTTAAACATAACTATTAGTGGAGTTGGTTGGCGATGTGGGCAATTCACAAAAGACTAGTTTAAGAGGAACTGAGAGTTTGAACAATGGTAAGGATCACTTAAGACCGTAAGACCATAAGAAATAGGAATGGGATTAGGACATTTGGCCCCACAAGACTGCTTTGTCATTAAATAGGATTGTGGTTGATCTGAAACTCCTCACATTCATCTTCTGTCCTTTCTCGATACCCCGTAATTCCCTTACTGATCAAAAATCTATCTTAGCCTTAATTATACGTAAGGACTCTGCCCCCACAGCTCTCTGTGGCAAGGAGTTCGAAAGACTCTGTCTTCCAGAGAAGTTCCTCTTCATCTCAATCTTAAATTTAAACTTGTAACACTGGAAGACATTACAGTTTTAGGGAAGGGCTTGGCTATAGAGTGACTGTAAATTTCCTTTTATAAGTTATAAATGAAATGAATGGCACAGATAATGTGGATTTCCATTATTTCATTTATATTTAGATTGCAAGAATAGCACACTTGAGAGCAAAATTTGCACGTTGCAATCAGACTAGTATAATTTTGTGTGGAGCAGGTATTTATCACAGTGATTGTGACTCTTAAAGAAAAGTGAGCCGTAAAGTATCTAGTATCAGATATTCAAGAAGCATATCCCAATCTATGCCTTTTGAATCAATGAGACTTCCATTGCAGGATAGTTCCTAAAAGCAGATTGTTCTCTCTTTGCCTGCAGAACTGAAACAAAAGATTGGAGTCTCTGTAAATAACCTGAGACATTATTGTTTATTCATTCACAAGAGTGCATCATGTTGATTTTGATGGTGTGTTTTGTTGATTTTTGTTTTGCTAGTTGTACAATTTTGGAGAAACTGTATCTATCGTATTCTGGACAGAAAGCTGGAAGCCTGAAAGTTTCTATGATAAGATCAAAAGGAATCGGCAGACAGGAGTTCACACATTATGCTTACTTGGTGAGTAATACTTGTACCTTTTGCCCTCAGCATGCTCCTGTACGTCACATAGGAAACAGAATAAACATATAATTACTGTGCGTATCATAATACGCTCTGAAAGATTCATATGTTGATTTGCCAGAAATACTTCCCAACCAACCATAGTTTGATATTGCACCTTCACTTGTAGTTGTTTGCCAAAGTACATTCTGCTTGTCTTTGTCTACAAAATGCAGGTGTGTGAGTGCATTTTAACCTGCTCATCCTTCCTTCAGTGATCCTTTCCTTCTTCCTACTGGCTGTCAAAGTAGATTCCTGTAGAAAATCCATTATGCAGTATTGTAATTATAGGGAAATAAACTGCAAAGGCTCCTGAAAACATAAAAGCAGGAATTAAAAAATCAACAAATGTGCTGTTATTGGCTTTTATTATGTTCTGCCTCAGGGTTTTTTTTTTAAATTAATCATACTTTGTTTTGTAATGCCTCTTGAGCTCATTTATTACTTTTGGAATTCAAAATTGCTGCTCAAAATCTCGGAATCCTGGATACTCAGTTGCTGAAGATTATTTTCAATTGCTATAAGACATTGGAAAAAAGAGACAGGAACCATCAGAATGACATTCATAAATACAGTAATAGAACTTTGCATTTGGAATGGCCCACTATCCAAGTAGGTACCAGTTGGAAATGTGCATTACGCGCAAATGAATCAAAGACCCAGGATTATGGTTGTTTGTTCGTTGTTTCTTTTCCTCAATTCCCCGTTCTCCTAGAACCATTGAAAACTGCTCCACACATAGAGTTGGAAGAAGGAAAATCAGCCCTGATATCTTTCGTTTTATTCATTTTTCATTTGTGCTTCACACTCTCATTGCTGACATTTACCAAAATCCAACTATTGCAACAATAAGGATTTTCCGTATGGTTTCACAATTTTTCTACAGTTTGCATGTATTTGGTGAAGTACGATATAGAAGAATAAATGCAGCTTTTTCAGATAAATGCAATATTTACTTGACTGTAACTGCATTTTTCTGACTACTCATTGCATGTATTTCCAGATATTGACATAGATCTTCCAGTAGGAAGGTAGTTGTTACAGTAATGTAAAGTGGAATTACACATCAGGTCCAGTTGGAAGTTCTGATGCAGCTGACCACTTGAGAAGTGCCTGGGAAGTTGAAACTTCTGATGGTCCCAAGCCTCAAATCTGTGTTAGAGTCAGAGACTCCTGAGAGTTCCAATTCACTTACCTTCATAGTTACCCAGGAAAATTAGAGGAATTTTAACCTGCTCAAACTCCTGGCTGATTTTGAAACGGATTCCCAGACTCACCCAGAACCCCTCCAGTTATCCCTCGCCCCCCAGGTCAAACTCCCGACCCCCTTCTGACCCTGATAGTGAAAGACTTTCCAGCCATCAATACTAGTAGGACTTGTGGCACCGTCATAGCATCCCTACTCCTGGGCCAGAAGCACTAGTTCAAGTCCCTGCTAGGCCGTGCTCACCACAATAGGAACGCCATTCAGTATAGGAATCATTCCATTATTTCGCAAAGGAAAGCAAAGAGCGGGCGTGAAGATGTGCTTATAAACTATTTATGTATGTATTCAATACAGAATAATTTGTGAGTGTCATTCCAATGTATATACGAATGGCACAGCCACAAAACAAATCTCTAATTGAAAACCAGAAAGAGTCCAATTTTTCAAATTTTACAGATTGCTAAAATTTTTGAAGCACTTTGTATATAATGCAGAATAATACAATATGGATTGACATTTACTTACTTTAAGACAAAATATTAATACTCATCTAGTTTACAATTCAGCTGAAAAAGATGTAGGTTCTGTATGTTTTCTGAGTAACTTACTTAACAAGATCATATCTGGAATGTAAAGTAGCTATGAGGCCAGTCCATTGGTGGTGATTTTCGCTAAAAAATGATGTCCTATTTGGAAATTTTATAGCGTCTTTCATCAGGAGCAAAATTCTGTGCTTTCAGGAAAATAGCATCTGTTAAGGTTTTGGGATGAAAACTCCTCAGTGACCAGAAACCTCTGCTTCTGTCTCCACATATACTGCCACACTTGCTGAGTATTTCCAATGTTTTCTGTTGCTCATTAGCAGTCTTTTTATTGTCTGTTACAAATGTATAGTCAAATGTCATAAATTGTATCAACAGTTTTGTCATCCTGTCTCTTTAACATGGTATTGCCAAGGCACTTCTATCTCTCAAACAAAAAAAAACTTTCAAAGCAATATCTAATGAAGTCAGTGCTGGCTTAGTTTCAATAATTGTGGATTTTGTGGAAGATAAAAACTAAAGTAAATCATTTAATATTCTAATATTGGAATGCTAAAATATCATAACTTCAAATTCATGACATTAGCAATTTTTCTCAGAGCGTTGAAGTTGACAGCCTCTCTTGCTTTATGTATGTTGGCAGTCTACCAAGATATATATTCTCACATGCTTCAATAAACGTTCTGGGAGCAGAAATGCCGGAGGTGTCTTGGGTTAAATGTAATATGTCTTTGACTTCAATGCTGAGCATAAATATTAAATGTTGTAAAGATAGTGCCTGGAATGCGACTGAGTCAAATACAGAGAAGGTCCCAGGACTGATCTGAAGTCCGTGTGGAGTTAGCTGATTTTATCCAATACGTACCATCCACATTATGTATTTTGGCAACTTGCCGAGCCTCCTCAAAAGCATGTTCCAGTCTCCTGACTTGTGTTACCAAGAAGGATCTGAAAGGGACTTGAGCAACCTTTTCATACAGAGGGTGGAGTGAGTATGGAATGAGCTGCCAGAGGAGGTGTTAGAGGCTTGTACAGTTACAACATTTAAAAGGCATCTAGATGGGTATATGAATAGGATGGGTTTAGAGGGATACGGACCAAATGCTGGCAAATGGGACTAGATTAATGGAGAATATCTGGTCAGCATGGATGAGTTGGATCGGTCTGTTTCCTTGCTATACATGTCTGACTCTATCTAGATTACTGGAATGCCCCACCACCCCCAGGTTTTCATCCAGGTGATTAGTGAGTAAGTCATTTGATAACACTGTTGATGACACTTTCCTAGTGGATGAGAGTAAATTGATGTTTTTTGTTCTGCATTTTATCAACAGGATATAGCATGAGAATTGTTCCCTTTGTCAGATAGGTGCCATAATGCCAACATTGAAGCTGTACTAGAACAGCTTGGCTAAAGATGTGGCTAGGTCTGGGCCAGGACTTGAGCTCTAAAGATTAATGGCCTTTGCTGTATCCTGTACACTCAGCATTTCTTCATAATTGGAGAAATTAGAAACGTGTGTAATGTGGGTTATACAGTAATAATAAATGAAGTCAATTTGCTTAATACCTTTGTTATCCAAGTCAGTACTAATTCTATAGAGGATGAATGTTAATGAGATGGGTTTCTGAAATGAGCCTGTGGGAAGTAGGGACCATACCCCATATGACAGAATTTTACGTTTTGAATGTGACATGGTTCATTCTGAAACTGGATCTTCAATCAGTGCAAAAGAATCCTAAGGGTCTGGGAGCCAAGTGGATAAGGTGGATTGGAAAACTACGCTAATAGATTTGATTAGAATGCCAGGAAAGATAATAAGTCTGAGAATTGGAAGCAATTTAGGACCTGGCAACGGAGGGCCAAGAAAATGATAAAGTACGGGAGTACAGAATATGAATGCAAGTTAGCAAGGAACATTAAGGCAGACCATAAAAGCTCTCACCAACCTGTGCAAGCGTAACACAGGTCCCATTGCAAGGGAGGACAGAAGAATTTATGGTGGACAACAGGCAACAGTCTTCATGGAAGAAGGTACACACATCTCCCAGGAATACGATGTGATCAAAGGTGCATGTAATTACTTGTGTAATGGAAGATCTGAAAGAAATTAATGCTTGTAAAGAAAAGGATGCTAACTGACAAAGCAACTAAAGAAGTTTGGACCTTGGACGCTACCCCGACAAACTCATGCAGTAATGTCCTGTGACTGAGATGATTGACTTCAACCACAGCCATCTTCCTTTGTGCTAGGTATAACTGCTACTAGTGGTGAACATTTCCCTGACTTCCATTGACTTCAGTTTTGCTCGGACTCCTTGATGCCACAGTTAGTCAAATACTGCCTTAATAATTAAGAGCAGTCGCCGTCATTTCCATTCCTACGATTTAGCTCTTTTGTCCATGTTTGGACCAAAGCTGAGGTCAAGAACTCAGTTGTTTATGATTCATTGAAGACTGATGAGATGGTATTTGATTGAATTGGATTTGTCCTGCTTTTTTTGGACAGCACATACCTAGGAAATTTTTCTGTTGATGGCTAGATGCTAATGTTGTAGCTGTACTGGAGCAGAATTACTGGGGCACTAGTTTTGGAGCACAGAATATTGTCAAGCCACACAGCATTTGCAGTATTCAGTGACTTTATCCCTTTCTTGATACCATGTGGCGTGAATTGACTTGTTGAAGAATGGCATCTACGATGTTAGGAGTTCTAAGGAGGCTAAGATGGATCATCCATTCAGCATTTCTTCTGGCTGGTGATGACTTTAAATGCTCAGGAACATATAAGCAGGAATGGGCCAATCAGCCCCATGAGCATGCTCCATCAATGTGCACCATATTTCTGTGCTATTGCCATGTTTCTTAATGTTATTTATTATTAGACATCTATCAATCTCTGTTTTGAATGAACTTAATGGCCGAGCTTACGCAGCCCTCTGAGGTAGAGAGTTCCAAAGATTCCCCACCTGTTGAAGGAAGAGGTTCCTCCTCATCTTAGTTGCACATGGCTTACCATTTTATTCAGAGAAAGTGTCCCCTGGTTCTGAACCCCACAGCCAGGGAAAACATCCTTTCTCCATTTCCTGAATCCAGCCCTTTAAGAATGATGTAAACTTCTGAAATCATCTCTCATTCTTCTTTACTGCAGAGAATACAGGCCAGTCTCCTCAATCATTCATTTTAGAACAGTCCCAACATCCCAGGAATCTGCCTGGTGAAACTCTGCTGCACTCAATCTATGGCAAGAATCCTTGTAAGGCAATGGGACCAGAACCGCACAAAGTGCTCTAAGTGCAGTCCCACCTGTGTTCTGTACATTTGAAGCAAGCTTTTTTACTCCTGTACTCAAATCTTCTTGCAATGTAGACCAACATGTCTTTTGCTTCTGAATTGCTTGCTGTAACTTCATGCTAGCTTCCATTTCCTTATGAAAAAGGATAACCAAATCTGTTTGGACGTGAACATTTTGCACTGGTTTTTACACTGATGAGCTGGGTGCCCCTACCATTGAGGATGGGAATATTGATGGAGCATCCTCCTTTGGTTGGTTGATTAACTATCCACAATCATTCATGATTAGATTGCAGACCTTTGATCTGAACTGTCGGTTACGTGTTCACTTAGTTTTATCAATTACCATGACCTGTATTCATCTGCACTACCATTCAGAATGTGAAGCCCCCTCTTCCTATTAGTTGTTTGACTGTTCACCACTGTTTGTAATTGGATCTGGCAAGGCTGGAGATATTTAAGCTGATCCTCAGGTTGGGGTATAACTTAGCTCTGTCTAAGTGTTTCTATGTTTCTCCTGTCTATAGTACATGTAACCCTGTGTTGTAACTTCACCAAGTTGCCATTTCATTTCAGATTTGCTTGGAATGCTCTCCTACATTCTTCATTGAACCAGAGTTGGTCATCTGATGATAGAATAAGGGCTTTATTGGGCCAATAGCTTGCAGATTGTGCACGAATAGCATTTTTCTGCTGCTGTTAATGGCCCACAAAACCTCTTTGCCCAATTCTGAGCAACTAGATCTGTTCTGAATCTATCCTGTTACCACCGTGTCATACCACATAAAATAACAGAATATTCTCTGTTCAAAGATGAGGTTTTGCTTTTGCAAGGACTATTACTCCTACCATAGAGATAATAGGAACTGCTGATGTTGGAGTCTGAGATAACAAGGTGTGGAGCTGGAGGAACACAGCAGGCCAGGCAGCATCAGAGGAGCAGGAAAGCTGACGTTTCAGGTCTGGGCCCTTCTTCAGAAATGGTGGAGGGGAATGGGGCTCTGAAATAAATAGGGAGGGGGTGCAGTGATAGAAAGTGTATAGTGGAGCAGATAGGTGGGAGGGAAGACAGACAGGTCAAGGAGGCGGGGATGAAGCTAGTAAAGATGAGTGTAGGTCGGAAGTGGGGATGGGGGCTGGTCAGTGAGGTGGGAGGAGCGGATTGGTGGGAGAGAGGATGGACAGGTCAAGGAGGCGGGGATGAGAGGAGGTGCTGGTCTTGGGATGAGGTTGGGGGTGGGGAGAGTTTGAAGCTAGTAAAGTCCACATTGAGACCATTGGGTTTTAGGATTCCCGGGCGGAATATGAGGTGCCGTTCCTCCAGTTTCCGGGTGGCATCGTTGTGACACTGGAGGAGGCCCAGGGTGGACGTGTCATCCAGGAAATGGGAGGGGGAGTTGAAGTGGTTCGCTACTGGAAGGTGTTGTCGTTTGTCGTGAACTGTGAGCGTAGGTGGTCCACAAAGCCATCTCCAAGTCTCCGCTTGGTCTCCCAGATGTAGAGATTACTCCTACTAATCCTGGGCAGGGAGAGATCAAGTAGATTTTCATTCATGTTGGTGTCTTTGCATCCTGCCGCAAACCAGTTACAGTAGTAAGGAAATCAACAGTTCCAGTCTGTCCCCTTGCCACCCTTACTGTTTCTTTAAAGTGGTGTTAACAAGGGGGAATGTTAATTCAGAGCTGAAGAAAATCAGCATGAGATTTTCATACGCATTTCTGACAATATACCTTGGGATGTCATAGGTTTTGCAATAAATGATAAGGACTTGTTATCATTTACTACTCCCAAATGTGTACCACTATGCCAACACCTCAAGTGCATCTGACCTACAAATGGGACAAGAGGTATTCTGGAATGACAATGGAAGAGTCCAGGTTATTGGCTAAAAGGTACGATTCTGAGTGTGAAATCTTTTGATCAACTTTCTCAACTTTAGCAGAAAGTGTTAGCCAGGAGGACTTTGCAGTGATGTATAAATCTGGTGCCTAATTCAGCGCTGGCTGCTCTGTCCAATCTTATTCTTATTATGCTTTGTCATAACAGATTGGTGCAAATGAGTGGCTTGCCCTGTCTTATCAGAGAGTAACTCAAAGTTAACCACTGTTTCAAACACACGTTGAATAAATCCAATTACTGTGTGTTTGACTGACAAGATGTCTGCTTTCCTTAAAGGATGTTTGTGATCTGGCGAAATTTTTTGACAATCCCGTAGTTGCAAGGTCAGCATTACCAACATTGGATTTTACTGCAGAATTTGAGCTTGTGTCTTCATATCATTAATCTAGAATTCTGATTACTAGTTCAGTATCATTACCACTATGCTACCATTCCCACTTTTAGATTCCTCTAATTGATAGGCATAATGCCATTTAGGGGCTTGTAATCGTTATCGTTCTCATTATACGTCAACATGCAAAAGGTTTCAAAGACCATAAAGCATCATGGATAGGAGTGTTCATTTATTCTTTTCAGCATAATTTACCCAAAATTGGGCTAACCCAGTGCAAAAGGTTGAAGACTTTCAAGTGCAAATTACATTCAACGCAAATTTCATTTCCATATTTTTTGTGCAGGTTTAAAATGAATTATACTAGAGATGTGCAGATGGAACTAATCATTGTGTTCGTTTCTGCTAATTATAAAGGACTCTGGTGGTATAGTGGTAGAGTACCTACCTGTAAGCCTGGAGACCCAAGTTCAAAGTCCAGCTGCTCTCGTGGGGGAAATTTCTGTTAATTACAGGTGGATTTTCAAAGACGCTCTTTGAGCTGTTTTCTTCAGAAGTAAAGCATGTTTTAAAAGTTTTTAGTATCCTTTAATTTTTTTGAAAGAAACTGACCACACCGACAAAGCTGGTAAATAGTTTTTAATAATTTTTAAAAATAATTTCTGGTGTTTAAAAATCTGGTTACTTGGTTGGTTGGATTCTGATCAAAAACTGTTTTTTGGGACTTGATTCATTTTTCAGCTCCCTTAATACAACTACATCAGATTGGCATTCTAAAGTATACAAAACAGTATATTTTAATATATTTTTATTAATTTGCCCTAAAACATTGCAAGATTGTGCTGGTACAGGGAAGATCTTACTTTTGGAATATGAAAATTAATTTCAGCAAAAAACAGTTCTGAAATCAAGCCTAGTTATGAGAACAATCCATGGCCAAAGGACAAATTGTTAATACATTTATTAAACATTGTTACATTAGACTGTATCTATTTCCGATTCTTGATGAAGTCCACTTCTACTAAACAATTGCAGGTTTTGGTTGCGTGTTCTATTAAATAACAGTTTGCTAAATAAATAAAGATCCATTTTACTTAATGACAGTATTTACTATTAACTGAAGGTTTGTTTTGTAGTGTGTGAGTTTTTGAATGTAGCCTGGTGATTATGTGTTTAAGTAAGGGAGGTCACAAGGTTTATCTTCCTTTCAAAGGTGGACAAATGTATCTAATTATAATCTGGTGCTCAGTCATTTGACATGAATGGTGAGAAGGAAACAGTCTGATATACAATGTGCATTAGGCCCCTGCTAAGTTTTAAACAGCTGGTGAAAATCACAGACTATCTTGATGCTTCCTCATGCACTGGAGAGCAGAATGAAACACACATGAAGATTTTCCTTTCTCTACTAAATAATCTTTCTTTTTGTATCTCACATACAGACATCAAAGTGAAGGAACAGTCTCTGGAAAATCTAATGAGGCAAGTTTTTCCTTTGTTTAAGAAGCAAATGATTATGATATTCTCATATCCCTTCTAAAGATTCAGCATTTACGTGGTCTGCATTTTGATATTTGAATCACCAGTTTGCCACATATTAGACTGGGAATTGGGAGGGAGAGTCTCCTGCAGCAAGGGAATGACTATTGGGAAATGCAAAGACCTCAGGAGGGTGTCAGATTGTGGAGTCATTTATAGGTGATTATGAGGGCTCTGCTCCTGTAGCAAAATCTTGTTCTTTCTGGTTTATAACCTGCATGGAAAATGCATGGATATGTTCATTGCCTGGGTAATGTTGAATTTTAAAAAGATAATAAAATGTGAAGCTTTATTAAAATATTTAAATTTAGAGCCTGCCTCCAAAAACTGGACTAAACCTCCTTTTCCTCTCTCTCTCTTTCTTTCTTTCTTTCTGTCTTTCTTTCTGTCTTTCTGTCTTTCTTTCTTTCTGTCTTTTTCTTTCTTTCTTTTCTTTCTTTCTCTCTCTCTTTCTCTCTTTATTTCTTCTCTTTCTTTTCTTTTCTTTCTCTTTCTTTCTCTCTTTCTCTCTCTCTCTTTCTTTCTTCTCTTTCTTTTCTTCTCTTTCTTCTCTTTCTTCTCTTTCTTCTCTTTCTTCTCTT